GGGGGGGTTACTCAAGGGGAGGAGGTGTGGTCAAGGTGAAGGACACAGAACAAGATGGAGTCGGCTGGCGTAGGCCTGCCCTTTCATTCACCATGTTCTCAGAATCCTTTTTCCACTTTAGATGTCATCACTTAGGGTCATTAGGGAATTTAGCCTTTATTTTAAGAATAATGAGAAGCCATTTAAGTTTTTAGGCAGGAGAAGACATGAAACATTTTTGTGTATGCTGTGAGGTAGAGGTTCAGTTTGTTTTTGTATATATTTTCTACTTATTTCAGCTCTGTGCCTTTTTTTCTTTTAATGTTTGTTTATTTTTGAGAAAGAGAGCAAGCACAAGGAGGGGAGGGGCAGAGAGAGAGGGAGACACAGAATCTGAAGCAGGCTTCAGGCTCTGCACTGTCAGCCCAGAGCTGGACCTGGGGCTTGAACCCATGAACCATGAGATCACGACCTCAGCTGAAGTCAGAGGGTTAACCCACTGAGCCACCCAGGCGCCCCTCAGTTCTGTGCCTCCTAATGTTACTTTAAATTTTATTCTGAAGTTTACAATTTGTATATTTATTATAGTCTGACTTCAAGTAATATTACATTACTTCATGTACAATGTAAGAACCTGGCAACCTGTATTTTCATTATCTTGTCCTTTGTGCCATCTTTGCCATACATTTTACACGTGTGTTAGACTGTAGACCATTTAAAAAAAATGTATTCCCTCACATCAACTTACAGTTTTCTTTTACATTTGTTTTTATGTAATTTTCACGACAAACTTCTCCAACTTTTGTGCTAACAAAAGTAAACCTGTTTCTTTTTCTCAGCTAAAAGAAATTCAGTGAGTAGATTCAACTAAGATCTAGCAATATTAAAAAAAATTTCATATTTGAAAATAATTTCTCAGATGTTGGGCTTCTATACTTTGAAGTTCAAAAGTATGTTTTGGGGTCTTTGAATTAGATTCTTTATTTTTTAATTTTAATTAAAAAAATGTTTTAATGTTTATTTTTGAGAGAGACAGAGCATGAGGGGGGGAGGGGCAGAGAGCAAGGGAGACACAGAATAAGAAGCGGGATCCAGGCTCTGAGCTGTAGGCACAAAATCCAACATGGGTGTGGACCCGTGAACCATGAGATTGTGACCTGAACCAAAGTTGGATGCTTAATTGACTGAGCCACCCAGGTGCCCCATAGGTTCTTTATTTTTCCTATTTTGGTATGTATGTAAAACATTTTTCTTTTTTTTCTTTGTTTTTTGATTGTTTTTTTTTTTTTTTTCTTTCCAGAAACTCATTTTTATCCTGTGGGTTTCATCTTAACTCCAACATCATGTCTAGTTCTAATGGTGCCAAAGAGAATTCGCACAACAAGGCTCGAACATCTCCGTATCCTGGTTCAAAAGTCCAACGCAGCCAGGTTCCAAATGAGAAAGTAGGATGGTTTGTTGAGTGGCAAGACTATAATCCTGTGGAATACACTGCTGTCTCTGTCTTGGCAGGACCCAGGTGGGCCGATCCTCAGATCAGGTGAGCAAACTAGTCAGTGTTAGCTGGTAGCTGGGTGTAAGACGGAGAAGAGAATGATTGTATTTGTAAATTACCATTTTGATAGCTGAAAAATCATTTTCATCTAGTGCTTGACTTTGTTATAAAGCAGTTTCCAACATTTGGCTGGGATTCTTGCTAAAGCTAGACAGTCCATGTTTGCTTATTCTTTTGGGAGTTTTATGATCCTTCCAAAAAGGTAAATCTATTTTACTATGGAGATTTTTGTTTTATGAGGTGACAAGTAGTGGTATCTGTTTTCATTTGTTCTGTTTAGGTTATCAGTAGAACATCTCTTATTGTTATTTTCCACCATAGCTAGACTTGTATTTGAAGTAGTGAAAATATTTTTCAGAAATTTTTCAGATTACCAAGAACAGCATGATGATAAAATTGGAGTAATGTGATAAAATAGAAAAGGGATAAAGAAGAAAAAAACTCAAGCAAAAATCCTTTGACTAAATTCATAGAAGTACATTGATTCACATTTTCTATTTATGTTCCTTTTAATGAATACGTAGAGTGTTTAAATGTACTGAGTATGAACTAGGTACTATACTAAACGTTTTATAAACATTATTTTATTCTTACAACTATTCTGGAAGATAGGGTTGTTATTTGTGCTTTATAGAAAAACAAAACACACACAAAAAATGGAAGCACACTAAGTTTGTCCTTTACATATTGTCACAGAGCTGCTAGTAGATGGTATAGTGTGGACTTGAACTCAGTCTGACTCCAGAATTCATGCTCTTAATCACTCTGCTAAGCTGCTACCCTAATTTTAGAACAGCTTTACAAATTTGATTCCATGGGAAAATTTATTATAAATGCCTCAAGGCATAATTTAGGCAAGTAAGTAAAAACTGTTGCAAGTTGGATAGATCCAGTATTAGTTCTAGGTTAAACTTTACTATGGACTTATTGCTGTGACTAGATTTTGACATACAGTTTCCCTATTTTGTTCAAAGGTGTGTTTGTCATTTTGTGATACTACTTGTATTTTAATTAATCATGAAGCTAATCTGTAGAGAAATTTGTAGCTTTAATAAGTTGCATTTTCCCCATTTTGAGTATTTACATATTTGCACATACATTATACATATACATTATACACAAAAGTGATGTTGGTAGGGGTGCTATATAGTGTAAATAGAGGAAGATTGCATACATTTTCTTATTTTTCATTCAGTTTAATTTTTAAGAGTTGAATTTATATCACCATCTAAAATCAAGCTTTACTACCAATATTAATATTTCAATTATGATTATGCTCATGTTTTTTTTTTTTCCTCTGGTGAATTTCTAGAGTCCCAAGAGCATTGTAAACCTGGCTGTATAATTTCATGATTTTTACCATTTAATTATTTTTTATTTGTGTGTTAGATGGAAGATTGGTTAGAAGTTTTGAGAGAGTTTTTGGATCATTCAAATTGGAAATTATTTCCAAAATAGAGCAGAAATATTTCTATGTTCTCTTAACTGATATTAAAGCAAGGAAAAAAGTGAAACTTGTCAGAACCACCTATGAATTATGTAGTGCTATACAACTCTTTATTCACTATCAACACAGTTATATCAGTGATTTTGTAATGGTGAGGAAAGTAGTATATTTATGTCTACTTTGAAAATAAATATTTTTTAAAGTTTATTTTGAGAGAGAGTATGAGCAGGGGAGGGGCAGAGAGAGAGAGTGAGAGAGGATACTAAGCAGGCTCTGCACTGTCAGCACAGAGTCCGACATGGGGCTTGAACTCAGGAACTGTGAGATCATGACTTGAGCTGAGATCAAGAGTTGGATGCTTAACCAACTGAGCCACCCAGGTGCCCCAAAAATATTTTTATTGAGGTATGACAAATGAAATAAAATGCACACTTAAGTGTGCAGCTATAGCTCAGAACAACTTTTTATTTCTATAGCTGTAACTACCATCCAGATTAAAATTCAGAACATTTCTAACATATAACATTGATTTTAATCTAGATCATAGTTATTATGAAGTTTTGGGGTAAATTCACAGTTTTGTGGATTTATTTGATGAAAATATTAACCAGTGTACATTTGAGGAAATTAAAATTACTTTGAGACCATAAAAACATCAAGATATCACAGAGAGTATTATTTCTGGAACCACATAGGAACCATTAATTGCAATATTGTGCCCACAGACCATTCTTCCATGCTGATAAATGATGTAGACTTTTTTTGTACCGTGTGGGAGGAACTGTGGTTTCTCTGCCTAGTCCTTCCCAGAGGGATTATAACACACATCCTTGTATTGTAAGGTGTTTTGGTTAACTTTTTTCTTTTTTTTCCAGAAACTGTTTTGAAGGACTAAATGGATTTGTAAATGAAAACTAACTCTTAAAAATTTTAGTTTCAGGGATACTTTATTATAAATAACAGGCTGACTGGCGTTAGTAAGCTGTTGGTAGTATTGGGCCATTATTTCTTATTTTGCTTTGGTATTCTTATTACAGTGAAAGTAACTTCTTTCCCAAGTTTAATGAAAAGGATGGGCATGTTGAGAGAAAGAGCCAGAATGGTCTATATGAGATTGAAAATGGAAGACCCAGGTAGGTACTGGGGATGGATATCTTACAATAAATAGGTCTTCGAAAGGTCGAAAATGTAATTAACATTTATTGAGTGTTTGTGTGTGCCAGACAATGTACAAAAGAATTTATATACGTGATCTGATTAAATCATTACAATAACCCTGTGGGTGGTTATTTTTAGTACCATTTACAGATAAGGAGAGAGAATGTAAGCAATTTGCATATAGTAAGTGGCAGAGGCAGTATTTGAGTGCATTTTTTTGTAACTCCACTTTGAAGGTAGAAATAATTAGTTGAATAAATTAACAGAGGAAGGATTGAGAATTGTATGTTTATTAGTTCTTTATTAAATTTATTAAATTAGTGCCTTAAACTAAGAATTTACCCAAACATGTAAGAGTAAAAATAAAAATAACCCAGTAATTTAACATCAAAATTCTTTCTGTACTTTTAAAAATGATTTTTATACACAACTCCAACAATTTCCATTTTCCTTAAGACATTATAAAAGTTAGGAAAAAATGTAAAAATTAGCATGCCCCAAATAAAACAAAGAAGGATCAGATTCTGTAATCATGGTTTTTATCTTGCAAAAATGTTGCAACTTGTATTCTTCCTTCCTCAAGGACAAGGCAATGATCTGTCTTCTCTCACCACAACCTGGTCCTTTAGTTTTGCTAACTCTTTCTTTGGTCATAATTTCACTTTTCTGTCTTTTTAAGTCAGACCTTCTTTGCATTTGACTTATTCCTTAGGTGCTTTTCTGGATAAAAAAATATGTTAAAAGATGTTTATCCATGAAAAAGAATAGGCAGCAAAGGCAAGCTAGCATGTTGTTTTAGTCAAGAGTCTAATGGAAACAATTCTAGCTTACCTTAGTAAAAAGTGAACTTTAGGGTTATGGGGTCATCTCAAGCAGTCCGAAGTGTAAATGCAGCTAACTTTAGGTAGAATTGAAAATCTGTCTCTGCTTTTCTTTCTATGTTGCCTTTATTTCTCTTTCACTGCAAACAACTTTCTCTGCTTCTCAGACTATAGGGTAGTCTATGTGTCTTTTCCATAGTTTCTGATTTACCAGTTATAAGCTTGGTTATCTATAAAAATGAACTTTCACTCTTTAAATATTGGCTTTGATCATTTGTGTTCAGGGATGTATACTTATTTGGAATAAAACATAGTTGCTGGCCACCCTGCCCCTCCTCCTGTGAATTTGAAAAGAAAAATTATTGTCACCTGGGCAGGTGCCTTGTCTTAACTGAAAGTCTTGCTGATATATTTTTGGGTCTAGTACAGTATAAAAATTCATTCAACTTGAATAACAGTCACAAGGAAGACCAGAATAAAAACATGGCTGACAGGGAAAATTTTGGCTGTTTGTGTATTTACTTTCATATATTGGGAGGACAAAAGATATAATCTTAAAAAGGTAAGATTGTAGATTAGGGCATTTTACTGGGACATAATGAAAGTTGAACATTTAAGGAATATTCATTGGAAAAAAATTACTCAGGCCTGAGTGTTGCTATGTTCACCTGACAGACTTTTTAACATTGGGTTGTGCTATTGGTTAAATAGTTGGCATTTTTATAAAATTGTTTTCTTTAAAACTTGAATTTTGGTATATTTGAAATCTTGAAATATTGAATAATACTACCTCATTATATGCTACAAAATATATATTATTGGTAATAAACATCCAGAACCCACTGAGAAAACATTTTCTTTAAAAAGTAACAAAAATAATGGGAAGGGTTGTATGAGATGAGAGTAAGAAAAGGGGATGTTGAGAAAGTGAAGAGAAATGTGGGTATCTTGAATGATAAATCATCATTGTTGTAGAGCTAGAGGATCATTAGGTGCAGACCATTCATCTGCCCTGTTGTAAGAGTCCAGTAAGGTGTTAGTTTGTGTTCAGTGAAAACTGAAACAAATTCTCTTATAGAAAAACTTCAGAAATGAGATCTTCCTCCTGGATCAAGCCCAAAGCTTAAGACGTGCACAAAAGAAAAGTTAAATAACAGCATAAGGAAATGTGTGATTTTAGTGGCAGATATGTGATAGCGTTGCTGGATTTGGGAGGAGATACTATTTCCCTCTTATTGCACTTACTGCCTTCTTTTGGGCCATATAAAGTTGGGTTTAAAAAGATGAAAATATTCAATTGATTTTCTATATTCTTTTCCCAGAAATCCTGCAGGACGGACAGGACTGATTGGCCGGGGGCTTTTGGGGCGATGGGGCCCAAATCATGCTGCAGATCCCATCATAACCAGGTAAGAATGAAAAAAAAAAAAAAAACATTTCAATAGGAAAGAGCCAGGTGATTGGAGAAATATGGACTGTAACTATGTGTTTATACACACACGTACACACACACACAAACGTATGTATGTATATGTACACATGTATAAATATATGCGTTTGTATACATATATGTATATGTGTATGTATATACTCATAAGTGCAAACACTGGAAATGTATATTAAAAATTTTTTTTAAATGTTTTTATTTATTTTTGAGACAGAGAGAGACAGAGCATGAGCAGGGGAGGGGCAGAGAGAGAGGGAGACACAGAATCTGAAGCAGGCTCCAGGCTCTGAGCTGTCAGCACAGAGCCCGATCTGGGGCTCGAACTCACAGACTGTGAGATCATGACCTGAGCTGAAGTCGGACGCTTAACTGACTGAGCCACCCAGGCGCCCCTTGAAATGTATTTTTTTTTTTTTTTAAATTTTTTTTTCAACGTTTATTTATTTTTGGGACAGAGAGAGACAGAGCATGAACAGGGGAGGGGCAGAGAGAGAGGGAGACACAGAATCGGAAACAGGCTCCAGGCTCTGAGCCATCAGCCCAGAGCCCGACGCGGGGCTCGAACTCACAGACCGCGAGATCGTGACCTGGCTGAAGTCGGACCCTTAACCGACTGCGCCACCCAGGCGCCCCATTGAAATGTATATTTTAAAGGGTCTTGATGTGAAATCATACTGATGTGATACAAGTGTAAAGTTGTAGTTTTATATGAGTAGGCTAGGCATTATCTGAACAAAGTTAATTCACATAGTGAATTTACTGAACATCTGTTTGTTCTCAAAATTGAGTAGGTGCTTTGGAGGATATAAACAAAATAAAAGAATTCTACGTTTCAGCTCCCTATCACAGAAGAGCTATGGCTTCATTTGTAAGATGAAAAATATGAACTAAGAAAACGTGTCAAGGTACAATGGGTGAGACAGTCTGATTTAAAAATTAGATTAGTTGTGGGTTGTGATGACGGTAAACTGGAACACCGAAGAAAGGCATTATGAAGTAGGCAGACTTGAGCTGAACTTGAAGCTTGGATAGGGGGACAACAGGAGGCCTAAGAAAAAAAGCTTATAGTAATATCTATTTGAGTTTTTTTTTTAAATATGGAATTTATTGTCAAATTGGTTTCCATTCAACACCCAGTGCTCATCCCAAAAGGTGCCCTCCTCAATACCCATCCCCCACCCTCCCCTCCCTCCCATCCCCCATCAACCCTCAGTTTGTTTTCAGTTTTTAAGAATCTCTTATGCTTTGGCTCTCTTCCTCTCTAAACTCTTTTTTTTTTCCTTCCCCTCCCCCATGGGTTTCTGTTAAGTTTCTCAGGATCCACATAAGAATGAAAACATATGGTATCTTTCTCTGTATGACTTATTTCACTTGGCATAACACTCTCCAGTTCCATCTACGTTGCTACAAAAGGCCATATTTCATTCTTTCTCATTGCCATGTGGTACTCCATTGTGTATATAAACCACAATTTCTTTATCCATTCATCAGTTGATGGACATTTAGGCTCTTTCCATAATTTGGCTATTGTTGAGAATGCTGCTATAAACATTGGGGTACAAGTGCCCCTATGCATCAGCACTCCTGTATCCCTTGGGTAAATTCCTAGCAGTGCTACTGCTGGGTCATAGGGTAGGTCTATTTTTAACTTTTTGAGGAACCTCCACACTGTTTTCCAGAGCAGCTGCACCAGTTTGCATTCCCACCAACAGTGCAAGAGGGTTCCCATTACTCCACATCCTCACCAGCATGTATAGTCTCCTGATTTGTTCATTTTGGCCACTCTGACTGGCGTGAGGTGATATCTGAGTGTGGTTTTGATTTGTATTTCCCTGATGAGGGGCGACATTGAGCATCTTTTCATGTGCCTGTTGGCCATCTGGATGTCTTCTTTAGAGAAGTGTCTATTCATGTTTTCTGCCCATTTCTTCACTGGATTATTTTTCAGGTGTGGAGTTTGGTGAGCTCTTTATAGATTTTGGATACTAGCCCTTTGTCCGATATGTCATTTACAAATACGTTTTCCCATTCCATTGGTTGCCTTTTAGTTTTATTGATTGCTTCCTTTGCTGTGCAGAAGCTTTTTATCTTGATGAGGTCCCAATAGTTCATTTTTGCTTTTAATTCCCTTGCCTTTGAGGTTGTATCAAGTAAGAAATTGCTGCGGCTGAGGTCAGAGAGGTTTTTTTCCTGCTTTCTCCTCTAGGGTTTTGATGGTTTCCTGTCTCACATTCAGGTCCTTTATCCATTTTGAGTTTATTTTTGTGAATGGTGTAAGAAAGTGTTCTAGTTTCATCCTTCTGCATGTTGCTGTCCAGTTCTCCCAGAACCATTTGTTAAAGAGACTTTTTTTCATTGGATATTCTTTCCTGCCTTGTCAAAGATTAGTTGGCCATACGTTTGTGGGTCTGGGGTTTCTATTCTATTCCGTTGGTCTATGTGTCTGTTTTTGTGCCGATACCGTGCTATCTTGATGATTACAACTTTGTAGTAGAGACTAAGGTCTGGGATTGTGATGCCTCCTGCTTTGGTCATGTTCTTCAAAATTACTTTGGCTATTCGGGGCCTTTTGTGGTTCCATACAAATTTTAGGATTGCTTGTTCTAGCTTCGAGAAGAATGCTGGTACAGTTTTGATTGGGATTGCATCGAATGTGCAGATAGCTTTGGGTAGTATTGACATTTTAACAATATTTATTCTTCCAGTCCATGAGCACAGAATGTTTTTCCATCTCTTTATATCTTCTTCAATATCCTTCATGAGCTTTCTATAGTTTTCAGCATACGGATCTTTTACATCTTTGGTTAGGTTTATTCCTAGGTATTTTATGCTTCTTGGTGCAGTTGTGAATGGGATCAGTTTCTTTATTTGTCTTTCTGTTGCTTCATTATTAGTGTATAAGAATGCAACTGATTTCTGTACATTGATTTTGTATCCTGCGACGTTGCTGAATTCATGTATCAGTTCTAGCAGACTTTAGGTGGAGTCTATTGGATTTTCCATGTATAATGTCATGTCATCTGCAAAAGTGAAAGCTTGACTTCATCTTTGCCAGTTTTGATGCCTTTGATTTCCTTTTATTGTCTGCTTGATGATGCTAGGACTTCCAACACTATGTTAAACAACAGTGGTGAGAGTGGACATCCCTGTCGTCTTCCTGATCTCAGGGGGGAAAGCTCTCAGTTTTTCCCCATTGAGGATGATGTTAGCAGTGGTCTTTTCATAAATGGCTTTTATGATGGTTAAGTATGTTCCTTCTATCACGACTTTCTCGAGGGTTTTTATTAAGAAAGGATGCTGAATTTTGTCAAATGCTTTTTCTGCATCGATTGACAGGATCATATGGTTTATTAATGTGATGTATCACATTGATTTGTGAATGTTGAACCAGCCCTGCAGCCCAGGAATGAATCCCACTTGATCATGGTGAATAATTCTTTTTATGTGCTGTTGAATTTGATTTGCTAGTATCTTACTGAGAATTTTTGCATCCGTATTCTTCAGGGATATTGGCCTGTAGTTCTCTTTTTTTGCTGGGTCTCTGTCTGGTTTAGGAATAAAATGAATGCTGGCTTTGTAGGATGAGTCTGGAAGTTTTCCTTCCCTTTCTATTTTTTGGAATAGCTTGAGAAGGATAGGTATTATCTCTGCTTTAAATGTCTGGTAGAATTCCTCTGGGAAGCCATCTGGTCCAGGACTCTTACTTGTTGGGAGATTTTTGATAACTGATTAAATTTCTTCAGTGGTTATGGGTCTGTTCAAGCTTTCTATTTAATCCTGTTGGAATTTTGGAAGTGTGTGGGTGTTCAGGAATTTGTCCATTTCTTCCAGGTTTTCCAGTTTCTTGGCATATAATTTTTCTTAATATGCCCTGATAATTGCTTGTATTTCTGAGGGATTGGTTGTCATAATTCCATTTTCATTCATGATTTTATCTATTTGGGTCATCTCCCTTTTTGAGAAGCCTGGCTAGAGGTTCATCAATTTTGTTTATTTTTTTCAAAAAAACAACTCTTGGTTTCATTGATCTGCTCTACAGATTTTTAGATTCTATATTATTTCTGCTCTGATCTTTATTATTTCTCTTCTTCTGCTGGGTTTGGGGTGTCTTTGCTATTCTGCTTCTATTTCCTTTAGGTGTGCTGTTAGATTTTGTATTTGGGTTTTTTCTTATTTCTTGAGATAGGATTGCAATGTATTTTCCTCTCAGGACTGCCTGCACTGCATCCCAAAGCGTTTAGATTGTTGTGTTTTCATTTTCATTTGTTTCCATATATTTTTAAATTTCTTCTCTAATTGCCTGGTTGACCCATTCATTCTTTAGTAGGGTGTTCTTTAACCTCCATGCTTTTGGAGGTTTTTTTTTTTTTTTTTTTTAACATTTATTTGTTTTTAAGACAGAGAGAGACAGATCATGAACGGGGGAGGGTCAGAGAGAGGGAGACACAGAATCTGAAACAGGCTCCAGGCTCTGAGAGCCCGACACGGGGCTCGAACTCACGGACCACGAGATCATGACCTGAGCCGAAGTCGGCCGCTCAACCGACTGAGCCAGCCAGGCGCCCCGATGCTTTTGGAGGTTTTACAGACTTTTTCCTGTGGTTGATTTCAAGCTTCATCGCATTGTGGTCTGAAAGTATGCATGGTATGATCTCAATTCTTGTGTACTTATGAAGGGCTATTTTGTGACCCAGTATGTGATCTATCTTGGAGAATGTTCCATGTCCACTCGAGAAGAAAGTATATTCTGTTGCTTTGGGATGCAGAGTTCTAAGTATATCTGTCAAGTCCATCTGATCCAATGTATCATTCAGGGCCCTTGTGTCTTTATTGATTCTGTGTCTAGATGATCTATCCATTGTTGTAAGTGGAGTATTAAAGTCCCCTGCAATTACCACATTCTTATCAATAAGGTTGCTTATGTTTTTGAGTAATTGTTTTATATATTTGGGGGCTCCTGTA